GGTACGGGGGCAACACTGAGGGTTGCGATCCGTTGCCGGACACGGAAAAAGACAAAAAAAAAAAAAAAAAAAAAAAAAAAGATGGATGAAGTATGGCTGGGGGAAGGGGGAAGGGTCCTACTCTAATAACAGAGACATTTTCATGGATACCAGGCAGATGGTGTGGTAGAAAATAGAAAAAATTTTTTAAAAAGCAGTTTGCTAGTCTGGCAAATCTGTTAGGTGCCCTCTTTGTTGTTCCTGACTGCATATAGTTGAAGTCCAAAGTTCTTAGACCAGCAAAGACCTTCAAAATCTCCCTTTACTTTATTTTTACTACGTCTTCTTCTGTCAACCCCATATCCTGCCCTGTACCTTGAATCAAGCAGCACCAAGCTACTTTCTCTTCCTGGAATGCAGTGTTCTTTCATGCCTACGAGCCTTTGTACATGTTTTTTTCTCTGTCTGGAATACCTTTTTCTCTCTAATCTGCCTGATAACTTCTACTCATCTCTTAGGTCCAGTTCAGTGTTACTTCTGGAGTCATTCTTGATTTCCTAAAGCAAAGTTTATTACTCTTTGTGTTTCACTTTGCAGTGTTCTAGGGCTCCTATTACGTTGAATTATGCTTGTCTAATCTGTTTCCTTTCTCTACCAATTTGGACATTGTATGTCTCAATCACATTTGTCTTACTGGTGGCTTGTCTTTGGCTGGTATGCAGCAGAGGTTCAATAAATTCTCACTAGTCCTTTTATTATTTTTCTCTTTTTCTCCCAGGCCCAGATCATCTCGGCACCCCAGTTCCCTAGACTACCAGCAAACTGAGAAGATAAAGACTGATTCATTTTTATCCTTGCTCTTTGCCCTTTCCCCCCCCTCTTTTTATACATTTTTTAAATTTCTCTTTTGGTCTTTTAAATTAAAATTGACTATGGAAATGTAATTTCATTTTGCTACCTCTTTTCTCTATTAAAATAAAATAGAAAATATGCTTCATGTACATAAAAAATGAAAAACACAACACACACACCATTAAAACAGCAGAAGTGAACACTAACAAAAACCACGATTAAAAATGCCCCAGATGTTGAATTTTTAGGCTCAATGTGGGAGTAAGAATATTGGACACATAATCTGGTTCTCCCTTTGGCAGTTTTTAATTGCTGTTTCTCAATCCCAATCAGAAATCAGGCAAGCGGCCCATCTCTCTGCCTTTCCCTCTCACCCCATTTCTCTCTCTTCTCTTATCCCCTTGCAAAACCAAAGACAGGTTGAGAGGCTAGGAATAGCAGAAGAGGAGCATTCTCTTCCCCTGCTCCTTCCTCTTCATTCTCACGCCCTCTTTCTTCTCCAAATTCTGTTTTGGGCTTTCCTTCCCCACCCTCCCACCTTCATCTGTTGGACACACTTTCAGTTTTGTCTATGTCATATTTGATTGTACTGCGATTTCTAAATTCATGGACAGAGAAAGTGTTCTCTGAAACACATGGATTTTAGAAAACAAAGTTTACAGCTGCTGGTTAGCTCAGTTGTTTAGGGCATGGTGCTGATAACACCACGTTCCAGGGTTTGATCCCTGTACAGTCCAGCCCCATAAAAGAAAAAAAAAAAAATTAGAAAGTTGATTATTATAAAAGAACATAAACGACTCAAATTCTCTAGTTTTTTAAGATACTTAGAGTAAGCCAGTCAGGTAATTTTCACTGCATCTGGGCAAAAATGCATCTGAATTTCAGTGAATGTGCAGGATGGAGCCTAAGCTCAATTCTTTCAGTCTCATCTAAATCCGGAAAAACAAAGTCAACAGAAGTCTATACATGCTTATTAAGCATTTCAAGGAGGCTGTGAATAAAGAGCAGAGGCTTTGAGTCGGGATTCTTGCATTTTTCTGAAACTCAAAACCAATAACCAGTGCCAATCTGTAACCCTTTCCCTCACAGGGCAATAGTGACAAAGAATATGGGAGGATAAAAAGAAGGGTTACATTTTAAAAGAAAATATACATCTTAAAATGAAAAAGCCATTGGAAATGGCATTGTAAACGACACCGGAAAAGAGCAAAACCAGGTAGGGTGCGGAACACAGCGGACCCGAGTCCTCTTCCCAGGCCCACACAGCTGACTTAGGGAAGGCTCCACCCCCAAGAACAATTTTGTGAGCGCTCACCCGCCTGCCGGCACCCACTCCAGCCCCTCTTCCGCATGCGCACAGCGATAACACGCCGTTCGGTCGCCTGGTGCCTTCCCTGCCCCCGAATCCCTAATTCCGATTGGTTTGTTTCACAGGACCGCCCCTCTGGTGCAACCAATGGTGAAGCCGCCTCGGGTGCTCCGCCCTCCCCGCCGGCAGCGTGCGGCCGCACAGCCTGCTAACCCAGGCGGCCAGCGGGGATGGCGGCTGTCTCTGCGACTGCGGGCCGGCTGTTGAGGCTCTGTGCGGCCGCAGTTGAGGGGCCCTGGGGTCGGCTGCGTGGCTCGGGGCTGGCTCGGGGTTTTCTGCAACCCAAACCGGATGGCGAGGATGTGGCCCCGAGGCGACAGGTGGCTCACTTCACTTTCCAGCCCGACCCGGAGCCCCGGGAGTACGGTGAGCCAGGAGCTACCCTGTCCGGTCCCGCTGCAAGCCAGACTCCCAGGCCCGCGGGTGCTCGTGAGGCTCGGCGTCCCGTCCGGGGCGGGGGCCGGCAGGCTGATCTCCTTGCATCCCGGCTTAATCTCTGCCTTTCTGTCGGGAACCTCCCTACTGCCTCACGGGCTGTCATTCCCTTCTCGCTCTATTTTTATCGCTGTTCAGCCCTTGAGACGCAGCCCTTCGGCACCCTCGAGATGGGTGAGAAGGCATTCCGCCGTCTGGAAGGGTCTGAGGGCGGAGAGGTGGTGCCCAGGGAACGCCCCCCTTTCTCCATCCTCCATCCCTGCTTTCCCATCCCAGGCCTTAGGTGTTGTTCCAGCTTGCCCGGGACTGGACCACTAACTTTAAGCAGAGACATTCGAAGTAACAATTGATTTTCTCAAGGTCACAGACCAAGTTCTTCCCGGAGATGGGAAAGAATCCAGGCTTCCTATTTGAGCTTAATATCGGGCATGTGCTGGGCTATTCTGCCACTTAGCCAAGGAGGGGCAATCTATGTAGGTGATGGGACGAGGGAGCCATAGGAAGGGCATGTAGCAAACTGATCATAGTATGAAGATTGCATGACTTTTACCGTTTTTTCTGCAATTTTTATGTAATCTAAAGATCCAGTGTCTGTCATTAGAACATTGGGAAACAGAAAACGCTTACCGTTTCTTTGTCTAATAACTTCTCACGTGCTAGAGGTGATATTTTTGGAAATGTGTCTTTACTTCTGAACAATAAGAACGAGCAGTTATTGAATGCTTATTACCGGCAGGCACTGTGCTGAGAAATTTACATTCATCATCTCATTTGATGCTTAGGACAACCTTAAAATGTACGTAATGTTTTTATTCCCATTTTGCAGTTAGGTTAACTGAGGTCATGAGATAGTTTGTCCACGGTTATATAAGTTAGTGGTAGCTGCAGCTTTGGAATCTAATTAGGAAGATTATGGAGCTTCCATTCTAATCAATGTACTAAAATGCACTTAGAAATAATGTGCTAAGAGGGTGTCCCAGTTATGTGAAACAGTAGTTACAGTACCAGAAAGGTGAATAGCAATTTTTTTTCGCCATCAAGATGAACCTTCAGTTCTGTCTTTGAAGCAGAGAAACTTTGGCCCAATACTTGAGAAATAGAGCACAGGTCTTCTTAATGCCCCCCTACCAAAACTGTGAAATTACGAAAATCTTAGTAAAATGATATCACATTTATTTGCCCTTATTATGAAAATAATACAAGCATATTACAGACAATTTGGATAATAGAAAAAAATTTAAAAATGTGATCTCACCACCCACTACAGTAAATATTGCTAACACTTTGGAGTGTATCTATCCTTTCAGCTATTTCCTTCTAGTTTAGTGTATTTTCTGTAACTGTAGTTTTAGTAGAAATACAATTTGTATTATTTAATCAGAAGCATTTCCTACAATGCTGTTTTTATAACCTTTAGAATTTAGAAGAAGACATGTTCCATGGAGTAGAGGCACTACAGTTCAGTAGTTACAGTCTTGACTCTGTCATCAGATTATCCTAGGTTGGGTGTTGTCCCTGCCACCTACGACTTTGGAGTCATCACTTATCCTCTGGAAGCCTCAGTTTCTTTATAGGTAAGGGGTTAATAATAATACCTACTTTAGAAGGTTGTTGTGAGGGCTAAATAAAATAATGCTTATGACGTACTTAACAGTGTTTGGCAACTAAGAAGCACTTAATAAATGGAAATTTTTGGTAATTACCATTATGCTTTTTTCTTTGTTACAGTTTTGCAGTGTCATAAATAATGCAAATATAAGCATTTCATACATATGGATTTATGTATCAGATTATTTATTTAGAATAGAACCCCAGGGATGAGATTTCTGACTCAGAGATACGAATGCTTCAATGGATTTTTTTTTTTTTTCGTTTTTGTGTTTTTTCATGACCAGTAACGGATCGCAACCCTCATTGTTGCGCTCGCACCGCGCTCAACCAGTGAGCAGATGGTCTCTATATGGGATCCAAACCCTCAGCGGGAGCGCCGCCGCGCTCCCAAGCGCCGCACTCTACTGAGTGCGCCACCGGGCCGGCCCGCTTCAATGGATTTTTAATGCATAGTTCAAATGAACCATTTATATCCCATCCGCATGTATAAGAGTGTGAGTATTGGGTGTTAATGCTAAAATCACAGGAGTGCACACACATATACTCAGGTATTTTGTGCTAACTATACTGTTTTAATTTGCATCTGTTTCATTTCGATTGAGGAATATTTTCCCATATTTGTAGATTTATTTTTTCTTGGGTATTGCGTGTTTCATGTTTTTGCATATTTTATATAGTCTTAATATTTTTCCTATCAATATTAATACTGTCTATCATTATTAAGTAACTGCTCTTTTCCAGGTATTGTGGTAGATATCAGTCTATAATCCTCATAGTAACCTGGTGAGCTAGACAGTATTATGTTCATTTTACAGATGAGAAAATTGAGACTCAGAGATATTTGTTAAGGGCCTGCCCAAGTCTGGTGAGTAGCAGGGCCAGAGTTTGAACATCGATGTGTCTGACTCCAAAACCTCACACACTACTTATGTACTAAAATTTTGTATATTGACAATATTAATGAAAATATTAACTTTCTGCCTTTTACATGTGCTGCAAATATTTTTTATCCTTTTGTTTGTTTTGATACATAAAAGGGACTGCTTAAATAGATGGTGGTCTGAACTGACTTTGAGTACGTGACATTTAGGCCGTACAGTGAGGAATGACAAGGAATCACCTCCGCAAAGACCAGGGGGAACAGTGTTTTTCTGGAAGAAACAAAGACAAGCAAGGGTAAAACTTACTCCTGAGGTGGGTGAGCTTGTGTTGTAACAACTGGGAAAGCGATTGTGGTTGGGGTGTCCTAAATAGGAGGTAGGCAGGTCTTTCAGAGGTCGAGGGTAGACTACAGAGTCCCTTTTTTTGTGGGGATGAGGGTCTTTTTTCTTCATATTAGGTTTATAAGGAATGGAACAAAAGAAGTAAAGAGAGGTTAGAAAGCATGGCATTTAAATGGGGAATGGGAAGTAGTGAGTTTTTTTGGAGAAAAAGGGAAGGAGTAGGGAATAAGTTTGAAAGGTAAATGGAAGCCTTGAAAACTAGGATAAAGTTTGGGGGAGAGAAAAGGCTGAATGTCTGTAACGTACCCCACTCTGTGCTGAGAGTGTTACATTCAAGTTCAAATTTTGTTGAGCCATGGACGGCCTTTGATTATTTTTAGGCAAGAAAGTGACTTGAGATGTGCTTGTGTTATATTATTAGGAAAGTTTATAGAATGCACTAATGAATGGAAAGTAAGGAGGCAGGGAGATCAGTTTGGGGTCTTGTAATTGTTTAGATGAGAAGATATAATTGAATTTGGGCAGTGCCAGTGGGAATGGTTGTATGTTTTGGAGAAATTGACTGGATTTGGCACTTGTTTGCCTGTGGGGGCTTAGATGAAGGTGACTTGACATTTTCAGCCTGGGAGGCTGGAAGGATGGTAGAGTGGTAGTATCACTGATACAAATGGGGAATGCCGAGGAGAAGCACATTTTTGGTGAGAGAGAGAGAGGATGACTTAGGACTTGAACATGTTGCTTTGAAGTGCTGGTGAAATATAGCACTATGAGACAGGCTAGTCTGAGTTCTAGTCTGGCACCAAAATAACGTTGGGTCGAACTTGGTAACGCTTGAGACCAGAAAATTCTCTCTATGTTTCTTTTCCCCATTGTACTATATTCAGAATTTTCCTGAAATATGTGCCCTTTCTCTTTTCTCTTCCTGGTCATATTTCCTAGTTCTGACTCACTTTCTCATTGTGTGTCCAAACCTTTTCATGGTACCCCGCAGAATGATAATAATGATAATAGCAGACACCTTCAAGAGTGCGCAGCGTGTGCCAGGCACCATTCTGAGTGCCTTCCGTGTTTCAGTTCATTTAATCTTTACATGACAGTGCTGTGATAGAGATCCTATTACTATCCATGTTTTATGTATGAAGAAACTAAGACATAAAGAGGTTAAATATCTACTTTTAGACATTTTAGTGTCTCTAGGTCACATTGGTTGTAAGAAGAGGAGCTAGGCTTCATTTCCAAGGACACTGGTTCAGTCTGGCTCCAGAGTCTATGTTCCTAACCACTCTGTGCCACTCCTAAGCACTCTAACCAGTCTCTTGCATTATTCATACATGTTTCAGATTCTTCACACAACACTTTATCCTCTGAAACCCTACCTCAAACCTGACGTTCCCCGAAGACACTGTTTCTCCTGTATCTCAGTTGAGCAGAGACTGCTGTCTTCTTTTATGGTAATTTACCCACCTTCAAATGTCTTCTCTATATTTATTGATCATCAGAGAACTTGATTCATAGTTTTCCTCATCATCCTATTTTTGTCGTCATTTAGGAAGATTTCAGCATTCTAGAGGCAATACTGCACAGAAGCTAAGAGCTTGCATTCTGAGTCAGACATGCCTGAATTTGAGTCCCCTCTTTACAGCTTTGTACTGTGACATTGACCAGGTTTATTAGGCTTCAGAAGCTCTCTTTTCCACATGTGTACTATCTCAGAGGGTTGCTGTGGGGACTCAGTGAGATAATCCACATCATTACTGGTGCCTGCCTGCTGTGGTACTAGACTGTGTTTCCTTAGGTTTTGAAAGAGTGAGATAATCCACATCATTACTGGTGCCTGCCTGCTGTGGTACTAGACTGTGTTTCCTTAGGGTTTGAAAGAGCATGTTACCGGCACAGTGATTAAAATTAATACTGCTTATTTCATCTTATGTCAGCTTTGTTAAGATATTTTTATAAATTTAAGTATTTTGTTTAAATTACAATTTATTGGCACACTTTTTTCATGATTGTATTTATTCTTATGTATATGTCTCATTTCAACTACATATTTTTTCTTCTTTCCATTTTTCTTAGTTTATCTAACAAAAAGAAAAGTCT